AGCACTGGTTCAGTGTTCCTGTTTACACACTATGCAGCAGGGTTGCCAGGTTTGGTGGTTCCTGCATTTTTTTTCCAAGAGACTTGTAGACTTAAATAAAAAGAAAGACAATAAACAGAATCATGATAGCCCAAGTTGATTACATTACGTTTCTAGCCAAAAAATCATACTGAGTGTTTTTTTTGTGGGTATTCTCGTGGATTTTGGGTTGGAAAATCTTGCTGGTATTTGGCAACCTATGGGAGCCGTGTGCTTCGATGTGAGTGGTTGAAAGCAGACTTTCATTCAAGATAACGGACAAGTGGTCTATCCAATCACATACAAGGATTTTTTTTTACAAGGCCCTGCCTTCTGAAATCCAACCACTATGGCTCAGTACCAGACTCATGTGTGAAGTGCAGCGAACTACATGGGTCTGGCCAGAGTCAGGCTACTTAAGTGACTGTTTGTGCAGAGTTTCCAATGACCTCAGAGTGGTTTTATTTGCCTGGGACCAACACCTTATACAATAAGAAAAACGGGACAGGATTGTTGCATTAAAATAAGTTTAATGTAATCAAAAAATACACCCAGGTAGCGATATTCACTCACATATTTTACCATCTCCCTGTTTACGGTTATGTTTGGAAACAAGGTAGTTTTGTTTTTATTTACAAAGTACATTGTTGCTGTTTTACTGATGTTTAATGTGAGACAGGACTTTGCTCCTACTTGAACTGAGTTTCAATTAAAAAAAATGTGGGCGATTTATAGATGTTTTTTGCTCCATATCACCCAGCCCTGTATTAATGACATGTCTTTGTTGTGTTTGTGGCAGATCTACAAAGTCCATCTACAGAATGGGGGTCACCTGTGATCAGTGTGGAAAGACCTGCAGATCTGCTTTTTATCTAAAGAGACACTACAGAACTCACACTGGAGAAAAACCATACGAGTGCGATCAGTGTGGAACACGTTTTACTACAAAAGGAAATCTCAAGCTCCACAGCAGAATCCACACTGGAGAAAAGCCCTTCAGCTGTGACGTTTGTGGTCAGAGTTTTAGACAAGAGGGTGCTCTTAAATATCATAAGAGGATCCACACTGGAGAAAAACCATACGAGTGTGATCAGTGTGGAACATGCTTTACTACAAAACAAAGTCTAGAGCTCCACAGCAGAATCCACACTGGAGAAAAGCCCTTCAGCTGTGACGTCTGTGATCAGAGTTTTAGACAACAGCGTTATCTCAAAGATCATCAGAGGATCCACACAGGAGAGAAACCATTTCAGTGTGACCAGTGTGGAAAAACATTTAGGATCAAACAGCTGCTCTCAACACATCAGCGTGTCCACACAGGAGAGAGACCTCACCAATGTGACCAGTGTGAAAAGACTTTTACACAATTATATGACCTCACTAAGCACTACAGAATCCACACTGGAGAAAAGCTATTCGCCTGTGGAGACTGTGGGAAGGACTTTACTCAGTTTTCACACTATAAAAGTCACGTGAGAATTCACACTGGTGAAAAGCCCTTCAGCTGTGACGTCTGTGATCAGAGTTTTAGAGAACGTGGTACTCTCAAATATCATCAGAGGATCCACACAGGAGAGAAACCATTTGAATGTGACCAGTGTGAAAAAACATTCAGGACCAAACGGCAGCTCTCACAACATCAGCATGTCCACACAGGAGAGAGACCCCACCAATGTGACCAGTGTGAAAAGTCCTTTACACGTTTATCTCTCCTCACTGATCACTACAGAATCCACACTGGAGAAAAGCCATTCGTCTGTGGAGACTGTGGGAAGGAGTTTACTCAGTTTTCACACTATAAAAGTCACGTGAGAATTCACGCTGGAGAAAAACCATTTGCATGTGACTTCTGCAGTAAAACTTTTAGAACTGCAGCAGAGCGCACACATCACCATCGGAGCCACACTGGAGAGAAGCCGTACAAGTGTGATCTGTGTGGAACAGGTTTTTCCAGAAGTGGAAGTCTTAAGATCCACAGAAGAATCCACACTGGAGAGAAGCCGTACAAGTGTGATCAGTGTGGAACAGGTTTTTCCAGAAGTGGAAGTCTTAAGATCCACAGAAGAATCCACACTGGAGAGAAGCCGTACGCGTGTGATCAGTGTGGAACAAGTTTTACTACAAAAGCAAGCCTCAAGCTCCACAGCAGAACCCACACTGGAGAAAAGCCCTTCAGCTGTGACGTTTGTGATCGGAGTTTTAGAGAACGTGGTGCTCTCAAAGTTCATCAAAGGATCCACACTGGAGAGAAACCATTTGTCTGTGAAAAGTGTGGGAAGTCTTTTACACAAATCTCAACTCTTCGTGGACACATTAAAACCTGTGAGAAGCAGGTGTAAAGACGCAGCATCTGGAACAAAGTGAAGGAGACAGAGCTGAAGCTGCATCATGTAAACCCGGAGTCAGACTCTACAGGATCTCACTTCAGTCTTAAGCCTGTGCTGCAGCTGCTGAGCTTTACAGACCAAACACTTATTGTGGATTTGAACATCTTTACTTTGTGTCTGGAGACTCGGATACATCATGTTTTTGACTGAAAGGAAAATCTTATGGTTCCTTTAAAGCTGCATCAAGACGGTGTGGGGATATTTTTACTATAATTCCCTATAATATTTTCTGGACATGGTTTAACAGTTATGGACATTGGTCATCTGCCCCTTATGGACCAATGGCTCTGTGTTTATTATCATTGTAAATATTGTTTGGCTGTGACTTGAAAGGAATTGCTCTGACAAATGAAAAAGCCTGGAACTAAAGTGCAGATTAAAACTATTGTAAAAGCAGCTGAAACAATAGTGAGTCTGACCACACATAAGTGTGTGTCTGTGCCTTTGTACGCCGTGTCTGAGTGTCCACAAAGCTCTATATAAGTCCCATGTTTTATTATTGTGTGTGATCCATGTGTCTTTAAGGTCATCAGTCACATGCTGAGTTTCTGCTGTGTGTGATCCGTGTGTACGTGTGAGTGTTATTATACATTCTACTGTCATGAAGTACTAGTATAAAGTGTGTGTGTGTCTTAGAAAGAGTCCTTTCTCACACCATCAATGTCAACATATATATTTGGAGCGTCATGTGGCTTCAGTGTTGTGTGTTTCATTCAGACCTGTCAATCATTGGTGTTTATCACAGTCTTATTCTTGCTTCATGATGTAAATGACGTGAGTTGTTTGTGAATAAACAAGTGTACAGTTGTGTAGCCGCTGTTGTGTGAGATCATTCATATATTGTGATGTTGTAGAAAAGCACACACAGTTTGAGCAACATTAAAGGGTGGTTCTAGTGCGGCTGGTTTTAAGGCTGATATATGAACATGTTGGAATCATCACACACAGGATTCTAATACATTCAAAGTTGCGCAGGTCACTTCCTCTTCACTGCTGCTGCTGCACCTGATGCCAATCAATCAGTGGCTCAGGATCCTCTCTTCCCTCTGCTCCAATCAGCTGCTGACTTTATGAAGCACAAAGATCAAAGTGTTTCCAAAGCTGCGGATCACGTCACCTCCACAAACGAAGCTTCAGTTGTGCAGATGTATTTAATGGTGCAGTTCTGGAGACGGCCGACAGATGGCGTGTGACTGTTTCACTGTGAGCTCTCCTCCTGTGAGCTTTCACTGTTTGTTAGAGCTGTTCATATAAAACACTTCTGTGGAGAATCATGACATCATAAATGCACTTGTATTAGTGACACTAAGACGCCCACGTGACAACCATGTGTTCACTTCAATTCTCTTTATTTACAAAACTTCAACAAGACCACCACGCCATAACAAGTCACAGGTTTTTTTTACTATCTATGAAGACAGCCACCAAACTTTGCTTGTTGACCAAAGCCTTCCTTATATCACAATCAGGACTGAGGACTGAATCCACAGTGCCCCGACCTTTTCGAAACCCACTTTGCACTTTCAAGCCTATAGACAAGCCTGTTAAGCCTGGTTCACAAGAGACGATTTTAAAATTGTCGGCCGAGTTTCCTAACCTGAGAGACGCCACACACGGAGATAAAAAAATCAAGGGTGTGTGTAAGATGAGAGAGGGTGGGGGAGACAGCAGCAGCAGCGGGTCGCGGTGACGCGCTTCACCTGGAGGTGCACGTCTGCGCAGACTGCTCACAGCAGCACCATGTTTTGTATTTTTTACTATTTCCATGAACATTTACAATGTTACAGTATGTGCTGTGTTTGTGTTCATGTCTTAGTGGTTAATATTAGTGCTGTCCAACGATTAAAATATTTAATCGCGATTAATCGCATGAATTTCATAGTTAACTTGCGATTAATCGCAAATTAGTCACACATTTGTATCTATTCTTTGTCCCTTGAATTATTTTAATACTACTAAAAAGTGAATAGGCGTGCAATTGCTTTTTTTATTGAAAACAATGTGTAGCGTTCTATTACACAATAACATGTGATGCAAAATCATCAATAAACGGATGACAAAATAAATAATTGGTAACAAAAAGCCCCTTCAACAAAGGGTGATACAAAATAAAGTTGCAAAGTGCAAATCAATGTAAACAAGGACTCAGCCTATAGTGCAGTTAAACCATGGCTTAAACTTTACTTTGAACTAGCAGTAACACTGTACTGCTCTTCTGTTTATTCACCAGAGGCTTATCAACCCAGCCTCATATTTCTGTGCAAAAAGAACATTAACAGTTACCTAAAAGATATGCCAGCCTACTACTTTTCTTTGAGCCAGTTACTCAAGCAGACAAGCCTGTTGCCATTTTCAGACAACAGAGAAGCTCTCTTTTTCTGAACAACATGTCCAGACAGTGAAAACAACCTTTCAGAAGGTACTGATGTGGCAGGTGTTGCCAAGTACTTGCGTGCAAGGCGGGCTATCTCACTGTGTGAAGCTTCATGTGTGCGCCACCATTCCTGAGGAGAGTCCTCTATGCCAATGAGAGGCTCTGCCTTGTAGCGCTCCAGACATTTCTCAATACTGTCCTCCTCTTCATCAGACGAAGACTCAAGCAAGCAAGAGAGCTGGTTTCTTCGTGGCCGGCTCAGGTGTGACTTGGTTATCGGGCTGTGCAGGCTTCTCCTTCTCCATCTCCTGGAGCAATGCGCGGACTGAATCCCACACCTGAACCCTGTCAGGTTTGCTCAGACACTTGAGGTCCTTAAACCTTGAAATTAAATTATATTAAATTAAACTTTATCATTATGCAAGTACAGGTATAACAAAACTGTGACAGTACCCCTATTTCTATTATGCCAAATTTAAAATCAAAAAGTAAAAAAGGAAGTGAAAAGAAGCAACCCAAAACTAACAGACTAGAGAGAAACACAATACTGAGAATGAGGAGTATGTAGTATGGCAATCTGACCTTGGGTCACGTGCTGTTGCAAATCTCAGCCATGTAACATTGGTCTTCTCCTTGCGAGCTTCCAGGTCTGCTGTGAAGGTTCCCTTGAACTTGATCATGTAGGATGGGTCGTCCTCAGTGACCTCCATCACTCGGGACAGATGACACAATGCTGGCAGCACCACTGAGCAAGAAACATACTTCTCTCCACCCAGAAGTTCAGATATATACCTGCAATAATATTAAGAAGCTCTTTAGTGTTTCACTCACATATCACTCACTCGATTATTAAAGAAACAAATAAACAAGAAATTACCTGCACTGCTCCAACGCAGCCTCAAGCTTCTTCATTTTCTCCAGTTCAGTTGCTGTTGGCATGGTGACGTTGGTTGTGTGTAGTGCCAGTGCATCTCTCAGGGGTTCAGCATTCCGCTGGACACGCTTGATCATTTCTAGGGTACTATTCCATCTTGTTGACACGTCCTGTGTGAGTGACTCGGTCTTCTGATGGTGTGCGGTTTGTTGCTGCTCGAGCTCCACGGCATTTGCTGGGCTATGCTTGAAGTGCCCAACAACTTTTCTGCATTTTGCCAATGCGTTGTCAAATGGGCTGTTATGTAGAGAAACCGTGACTGCTCGGTGCACACTGTATGCGATGCACGGCATGTGTTCAAAAGGGAGCTGTCTGGCCGCAGCAATCATGTTGCGTGCACTATCCATGGTCAGTGAGACAACTTTGTGTTCGATATTCCACTCTCTGCCTACTTTTATGAAATGCTCTGCAACAGCGTCGCTGAAGTGCCTCTCTTCTGTCTTCATAACAGTCAAAGCATGCGAATGAAGTTCCCACTGTGGATCGAAATAATGGGCTGTGACTCCGAGGTAGTAGTAGTATCATTACTGAGGGATGTCCAGTAATCTCCAGTCAGCGCGACTTCATTTGTCTGCTCCAACGCATGCTGTACCTTAGACTTCTCAGTTTCGTACAAATTCTCGATGCGTCTTGTAATGGTAGCACGCGAAGGGGCTTCATATGTCCAGTCGTTGGATGCGATGCGTATGATCTCAGTTAGACCCTCGTCCTCCACAATGTTGACGGGCCTACATGCAGTAGCTATCCATTTGGCTACGGCTGCAATAAGTTTGTTTTTAGTTGCGGCATCCATATGCCTCTGTCGAAAGCCATCGATTGTGACCTGGTTTGGAGAGGAAGGCGGCGCAGATTTCCCATCAGCGGTGTGCTTGGCCATCAAGTGGTATTTCAAAGAGGATGTGCTACGGTGATAACTAAGTTCGCACCGGCAATACACACAAATAACTTAAGTCTTGTCAGTCGACCCATCTGGCAACTTTTTGAAACTAAACTTTCCATTTAGGAGCTTGTTTACCTCCATTTCGGCGTTTCGCGCTCGACATCTACAGACTTTTACCGCTAGCGAGCAGGCAAGACCAGACCAAACATTTGCGTGGGGGGCGTACCTATTGTTTTGTTTCCGGTTTACAAGCGGAATGGATCTTGTAGTTTTTCTAACATTACTAGCAGTGGCCACAGCTTAAAAAAAACTACAAGTAGACTAGGTCTACCAGTGTCCTGCGCTCCGCTGTCTTCCGGGGGCCCCGCAGGAGGGGAGGTTACCATGCCCAGGCTCATTTTTTTTATGCATCACATAGATTTAGACTGATTTAGGGGGAGAAGAAGGAAAAATAAATAAATTAATTAAAATAAAATAAAATAAATAATAATAATTAAATAAAATAAAAAATGAATGAATAAGTAGATAAATATAATAATAACATGAATAATATGTGCATATAATGATAATACACAAGTCAGGGTAAGCTGTTTTGTGTTTGCAATAAAAAGTGAAAAAAAAATATATATATAATGTTTTTTTTTATTTTTTTTATTGCGCGATAAAAAAATCACGCCGTTAATATTGATTTGCGTTAACGCGTTAATAACGCGATATTTTGGACAGCACTAATTAATATATGTCTGTCAGTTAGAAAAATAAAAATATTGTATGAAAATTCTAAAATCCACAATTTCTTGCGCCATGTGACGTCATAATATGCTAATTAGATGGGTGGATTTATTCTCTACATAAACTTTGGGCCATTCTTAATATTTTTCTAATTTACAGAAAGCCTTTATCTCTTTACCTCTGGCGCTTAAAGGGTTAATCTAGGCTATACTCATGAACTTTTTGTATTGCCAATATTCACAGATGTTTGAACACAAGTGAATTTTGCAAGTATCTAATAAAACTGTAATTAAATTTATTTAGCTATAGTTAGAAATATTCTCTATTTTATGGTTGATGCTATTTCTATTTCTATTTGTCTCTTTCTAATCTAACAACTTTGCTTTTGCACCTTGAGCAAAGGCATATTTCTAGTTTGTGACTTCTGTCCCTTTTGATGGCTGTAAAGTAATTCTGATTTTAATATTTTTGCTGCTCTATCAGAAGAATAACATTGTATAGTTATTATTTTAACTCTTATGTGAAAATGTGTTTATGAAAAACAAAGAAAGGAAAATTCTACTTGTAAGTTTAATATTTTCTATTTTACATCTATAGAACACTACAATACCCATACTTTATCACTTTAACATAATTTTAACAGTTGCTCAGTCTCCCAGACTAAAAAGTCAAAGTTTTTTCTCTCAGGGTCCCCTGAGGGTCAATCTCAGTCTTCATTAGGTCAGGTCATAGTTCGAGCAAAGCCATCGTGGACATCAGTAGGGTCCAAGCCATGTATCTGGTCACTCCAGATACAGTCTGGTCACTTGGTTTGCTCTTCACGTCATTTCAGATGCAGTTCAGGTCATGGTGTTACGGTCTCACAGTTCCTGTACAGACTCGTTATGGTCGAGTCAATTTTGTTTCTACTTTAAGACAATAGTTTTATCTCAGCCAATATTATTCTCATTCAAAGAAGTGGCTCATCAGATACAGTACGATACAATACAATACAATTTATTCTTGTATAGCCCTAGGTCACAACAAAAGTCATCTCAGAGACTTAAAAAACCATTGAAATCACCAACACAGGTCAGAGAATCAACAGCCAAAACACATGAAGAATATAAAGCACACACAGAAGAAAATGTCCATACATGTTATAGAATGCTAAAGTGTCCTGATCATCACCAATCCTTTCTGTTGGACACTAACTGTCCAACAAGACCCTCCTGCATCGACAAGGAAAAACTCTTAAAAAACCCAGTGGGAAAAAGTGAGAAACCTTGGGGAGCACTAGGGAAACCCACAGGGAGGGAGACCCATATGAGAAAGGGATCCGCTCCTCCGGACGGACAGGCTAATGATCTAGGACCTAAGCTAGCTACAGGACGTGGACCAGTGGACGCTGAACGTGGACAGGTCCGGTGCAGGACTGAAGCACTCCCAGGCGGGTCGGGCGGGGCAGTCCTCAGGTGTAGATCTAATCCTAATCAATGTAATTACTTCACACAATATAAAATCACAACATAAAAAGTGTCAGGACAGAGGTCAATTAAGTCCATGACAATTTAGAATTCAAATGAACATTTCTGGTCTCAAAAAATACTGATTCAACTAAAGATTCAAGTGATAGACACTTTGTTTACATTGAAGTAAACTTTTAAAGTGCTTTTTCTTTCCGGTTATGCTTTTTTCCATGTGTATATATGTAAATGTGTGAAGTGTGATTGTGTGAATGTAGGTATGTGTGTGTGTGTGTGTGTGTGTGGATGTATGTGTGTGTGTGTGTGTGTGTGTGTGTGTGTGTGTGTGTGTGTGTGTGCACTTGTTTTCAACTCCTGGTGGGTTCCATAACCTGAGATTCCGCTCACGTCATGGGGACTGGTTTTACGTGGTGGGGCCCGAACACCGGACCCCACTGGTCCAAGCTTAATAATCAATGGGTAATGCTTTTCTAACGGTCCTTATGCAGTCTCTGTAAAAATATGGAAAGGACCCCTGGAGGTTTACTTTCCTGAAAAAAGTGTGTTATGTGTCGGAACCCTGGTGGTGGATTGCGGGATATCAAGAAGGGGCACACTGGGGCAATAGGGCTGGAAAGCGGAAGTGCGAGATTTTGCGAGATTTCCACCCGCGGATACAAACAAACCACACGTGCCACTTGTATGGTGCTGAGATCGCCAACTTCTTCCTCCTTAAAGGACTTTCCTGTGTTATTTTGGACACATTTCTTCTCTGGGACAGAAAAACTGAGTGAGCGGTCGGAATTAGCTGTGAACTGGCCATGTCCTGACGTTTATATGACGGGGGGATGAGAAAGGTGCAGGGCCGTGTTCAAAATTGTTTTTTAATCCACTATTATGCATCAGAAAGACAATATAGAAACACTATATATGCTGTGTTGGTTATAAGTCAATGTTTATGAATGATCAGTTGTCTATCTGTACATTAGCTCCATCTCCACTTCACACTCACTGCAGCTTCACATTGGGCCTTTTTTCTTTTTGCTGTGCTGTCAAAAACAACATGTAGTTGGGCTACCTATTCATTTACTACTAATATTGTCCGTTTTCTGTTATATTTTAACATTTGTTAAATGTTATTTAATATGTGCTAATATGTTCCTCCTTTATCTCTCAAATAAATAAATACATTTATCCTGTGTGACAACAATAAAGTTAATCTTATCTTAAAATACAAGCCACAATGAAAGGCTCGGCAGCGCACTACAGGTTAGCATTAGCTACAAGTTAGCTTGAATACATATTCAAGTTAACCATCTGTAAAATCAGACAAAATGTTTTATCACAACTGCATAGCTTTTTACACAGCTTCAGTTGGTCTTTGGGAAACCTAAAAAATGAGCATGCTTCATGTAAACTTTGATGATAACAGCCGAAAACAAAGCAGAGCATTTTACACCATTCACTTAAACCGCCTCTTCGAACAGCTGACAGTTTGTTTGTATCCGAGCAATGAACCGGAAGTGCTTCTGGGACGAGAATTTCCATCCCTATTTCAGTCCAGCCGGCTGGAGCCAATCATGGAGCAGCACAACAGAGGAAGTCAGGTGTCAGGCTAGAAAAAGGTGCAAGTGTGTGGTTCATTAGGCTGCAAGAAATCATGGAGGAGCACACTGAAGCGCACGCTTACAAACCACTGGTAAGTGCTGACTACAAGTCATGACTTCAAATTGTTATATAGAATTATTACAAATTATTTGTTGTTTGTGCAGCTTAGTCAAGAGTCCCTAATTGATGAAGTCAACTCAGATTCTGACGATTTAACTGTCAAGAAGAAACCTGTAAAAAAGTATGGAAAAAGAAAAATCAAAAACACTTTTCTTCAAGACTCGGAAAGTGACGAACCAAAGGCAAATAAGATTGTTATCATGCAGCTGCAAAAGAAGAAAAATGGGGGGCGAGTTTACAGCAAGAGACACTTCTGCCTCTACTGTTCAATGTCCTGCCACAAAATGTCCCG